ATTTCTCTTGTGTTTCTCGGAAAAAGCAGACATTAGGGCCATGGTGAACAATTTTAGCACTTAAGGAACACTTTCTCTGTTATTTATCTGCTACAGCTCCCTGGCAGACACTGTTATCCTCCTTCACAGAGTGGGAATGGGGGTGGGACTTGGGAGGAAGAGAGAGGAAAAAGTTCAAGGCACCTCAAAGACTTTTCCTGGCCACCCCCCCCCCGCCCCAGTCTTCCTGGTATTTCATAAGAGTCAGAAACAGCATCCAGGATGGTGGAAACAGCACCCCACCCTTGCCCAGCAGGTCTACATCCCTGGCTGTTGTTCTTAATGCCTTTTCTTGTGATGCCTGGAACTGTGTGTGTGTGTGTGTGTGTGTGTGTGTGTGTGTGTGTCGGGAGAACTAACTAGAAATTAGGCAATAACTTTGGGCAGAAGGGAATAGAATTTCAGGAAGCTGCCAACATGATATACCTCATCCTAGTTCCTCGTCTAGCAAAATCTATAGTACATAGAATTACATACTGCTATTAAATTAATCAACTGAATTTTAAACTTCACAAGGGCAAGGACCATCTTTTTAAAAATTCTCAGTCCCTAACACAATGCTGGGCACATAGCCAGCACTTGTTGATTTCACAAGGGAAGTGGTTGAGTTTTGTGTAATGAGGTCATCTTGGCAAATCATTGAACTGCTCTGCAACTCCTTCCCACATCTGCAAAGTCTCTTTACCTCCCAGGGATATTGTAAAGATTAAATAAGATGATGACTTTTAAAATGACACTTTCCAGTGTTGTGCTGTGTCCTCCATTTTCATTCTTTGATTCTCTCTACGTGTTGTGACATAAGTAAGGATCACATGTGCCCTCAGAGAAAGTTTGACTCGCTATTATTTAAATCAAGCTTTTCTTACTAAGAGAACCTCATCAGGCTGCTTGTCAGATTGGTTGGATAGATGGGATGTCCGAGGATGTCGCAAAAGCCAAGTTAGAGGATGGTCTGCTTTTCTGAGCAAGGTGGGTGGAAGAGAGGGAGAGAGGAAGAAAAGAGAGAGAGAAACTGGAGTTGTTTGAGGACTAATTTCTTTAGAACATAAAGCAAACACATCATAGAGAGATCCCTTAAATTTGTCAGTGTTACAGTCCTTATATCCTAGAATCTTAGATCCTACCACCGATTTTTACTTTTTTGAACAAAATCTTTGACTCTACACTTATCAATATCAGGGCAGCAAGAGTTATTCTCAAATACTGGCTTGATTTAATTGTCAGGATTTCTCCACTTGGTCGTCTTCCTCCATGACCACTCAGCAGTATTTTAGTGGAGTGGCTGAAAACTTAAAGCTAAAAAAGATCTTACCAATTTTGCTTCTGGCCTCAGTGGCCCAAAGAGCTGCATTGGCCTCAAGAGGTGGCCCAGGCCTCACAGCACTGCCCTGAGTGTAGTGTTTTTCAGCAAAGATTAGATCAAAAATACTAGGGATGGTCACTAGATGTCCCTCTTGTGTCTCTAAAGAAGCCAGGGAGATGGCGCTCCCTTCAGAATTGAAGTAAAGGGAAGCTAAGACTGAAGAGAACTTTCTTTTTGTTCTTATTATCTACAGGCAGAACGGTTTTATTTGGTTAATTAATAAATTCCTGATCGTGAAGGTGTTTTCCACCAGTTCTTTAGTCAATAGCATTGTTCCAGTAAAATGATCGAGCTGTCTGTTAGGGGAAAAAAAAAAATCCTGAGAGCAAATGGTGTTAGGATTATCTGTAGAAATAAACTAGGGGGATGGAAGAGTTATATTTTTGGAGGGGATATGTAACTAGCACTTATTTGAGCTTGGGGGCTGCTCGGGAAGAAAGAAAGCCAGGGTGCACACACCCCGCCCGCCTACCTCAGCACCTGACCTCCATGAATGCAGATCAGTGGCTTGTAAGTACTTGCGGGGTGTTCTGCAGGGAAAAGAGGGGCTCCTCCTGTGTGAACAGCCAGCAGGAAGCAGGGAACCTGGTGTCATGGCCATAACTAAGAGCACGTTTGTCTTTGCAGAACGTGTCTTTACAATGTGATTGAAATTACAAAGGTAATGACATTGTACATGAATTGAATTCTCCTATTTATCTTTAAAAGACAGCAGAATATAGACATTCTATTAGCACTCCCTAAGGTAAGAAGTCCGCAGCCTTCCTATCTTGTTGTGTGCATCTTTTCAGATGCCATGGCAATGTTAATCATTTTACCTGAGTAATTCTTCCATTTTCGTTACCTGGGGGATTGTTAATGGCCGAGACTACTTCTCAGACTCTTTGCTCCCGCTCAATCAAGCCGTGGAGGCGCCAGTTTACTTTTATTGATCAGCGGGTTCCTGACAGCCTTCGCCACAAGGAAGCAGCATCATCCTTTTTTAACTTAAAGGGGAACAGATCGTCTTAAAGTTTACAGCTAAAAGCTTCTAAGCATAGCATGCAAACATTTTAGCATGCTGCTAATTGTTCTGTTTAAATAGTCCAAGCAATATTTTAGAAAGCTGCCAAACGCCGAACTCACATCCCGTGATCAGATAGGAAACCCATTTCAAATGTCTTTTTAGGCCTTTTTAATTAGACCAAGATGCACTTCATTCCTACTCACTGACATGAAAGGTAAATAACTGTGATAAATCAAACGGAGCCCTTCTCTTTGCGGAACCCTCGAGGTGCCATGTTGTCGCTCTCCTCCAGCACTCGCCCATTTCTCCAACAGTGCAGAAAATCGGCCGGTCACCGTGCTTCCTTGAACCACAACTCTGCTGTCCACCCGCACCTCTAAATGAGCAAAATTAAATGATACTCATTGCAGATGCCTCGAATTTTCTCCCTAGGCTGAATTGTATCCTGAAGTGAAAGAGTGAAAGGACCCTCAAGAGGACTGCGGATCGGGCTTACCGCGATCTCCCAGCGGTCTGGGATGCGCATTCTTGGGGGGGGGGGAGGCGCAATCCCACTCCCGAAACCGTTTCTTTCTGCAAGAGGAAGCTGTCTTGCCCCTCCCCCCGCTAAGGTAAAGGCTGCTAAAGGAGGTTCTGTTGGAACGAGAAATAATTTAAAAGCAGCTCGGTTGCTCTCTGCAAGAAGATGGCAGTTTTGAGAACACCTATCAATGTGTCCAAATGCCTTCTCCCTTGTGTAGTGCTTTTTTTTAAAGGACAAAACTGAGTCTCCTTTTAAGCCCCCAGACTTCGGCCAATATCGCTGGACTGAGTATGAGTTTGTTATCCAAGACATTTCACTCAGGAAGGAGGTTTACTCTTCCAAGAATTGTGAATTCTGAAGCCGCTGCCTTCCTCCCCCAACCTATGTTGGGAAAAAAAAAAAAAGAACTTGTTCAGCGGGGTGTTTTTGATTCTTCCCGCCGGTGACCTTAATTAAGAGCCTCTGAGCGGGGCGGGGAGGAGTCCCCCTCTGTCCCCAGGGCGCCTTTAGTCCGGAAGGCGGACAGAGTTTGATGTCCATCGGGGCCACGCCGGCCTCCCGCTTCCCAGCACCGGCACACGTCGCCACCGCCGCCACCGCCCCAGCCCAGCTGGCAGCCCCCTGGGACCGAGGCCCAACCGGGAGGCTGGGGCGCCCCGCACACGGCGCCGGCTCCAGCTGCCGGCGACCTACACGGACTGCGCGCCAGCCCTGCAGCTCCTGCCTGGCTCGGGGCTCTCCCGGAGCGGCGCAGCGCGGCGGTGTCCGCTCCACCCGTTCTCCTCTAACGTACAGCTTATTTATAGGGAGCTAAATTCTCCAACCGGGTAGGGTGAAGGGCAACGAAATGTGTTCAGCACATTTCACCCTCTCCGAGGCTCATAGTCCCGGTGCCACAAACCCTACTTGATTAACAGGCAACAGACAAGAGCGAACCGAACCCGACCAGGGGCCCAGCTCGGTGGGAAAAAGTGCCGCGTCTTCTTGGGAAGGAGGGATGAGGGTGACAGTCCTGGAGGATGGCCGCTGCGGTTCTCAGCTGAAGTGAAGACTCACTGGCCAAGAACCGATGAATGACCACCTCAGGGGCGCTTTCTCCTTCCCTTTCTTCTTTCCTTTACCCGAGGACAGGAGAGGGAGGCCGAAACAGACACTCAGACAGACCGACCCAGGGCGCAGAGACAAAGGAGGGAGGGGGGAATGGAGGAAAGAAAAAGAGAGGGAGCGCGTGCCAGCGAGAATATGAAAATTATATTCTTGATATGAAGATATGCGAGGGAGATAAACACGTCAACAGAATCCAATCATCCCCATTTTTCTTGCAATCTCTACAAACAGGAAAGGCGCGCAGTTCCCGGGGAGGCTCAGCCGCAGACCCAGCACGCCCCCTTCCCCGCTCCACCAAGCCCACTCGCCCCCAGCTTACTCTGCCCACCCCCGCGACTTCCCACCCTGACTCCTGCCGGGACTCGGGGGGGGGGTGCTGGGGGTAGCACTTGGTCCCGCCAGTGTGTAAGTTTCCGGCTGGTCCCGCCCCTCCCCGCCCCCCCCCCGTGCCTTGGCCCCGCCCCGAGCCCGGAGCCGCTGGGCGGCGCGCTGATTGGCCAGCGCCTGGCGTAGCCGGGTTCGGCAGCTCGGGCTCTCTCCGGCTCTCTCCAGACTCCACGGCCAGTAGTTTGCGGCATCGGGAGGAGCAGCAGCAGTAGCGGCGGCGGCAGGCGCAGTGGGTAGACGGACAAGCGGGCGCAGACCGCAGCACGGCTCCCGCGCACCATGCCCGGCTTGCCCGGGGGCACTGGCACCCGTGTCCCTAGCCCGGCGCGGGCCCTTGGTACGTTGCTCTCCAAGGCATTCCGGCTGAGCAGATTCATCTGAGATCCGAAACCTCCCACCCCTGCTCGCTCACACTCCATACTCGCACTTCCCACACCACACACTCACTCTTCCTCCCGCTCACGCATCCACACACAGCCCGAGACTGCCAGAGAAAGCGAAACAGACCTCCCGAGTGCGCGAGCGCCCGGGAGGGAAGGAATCCAACGCAGCGCTGCCAGCGCCTCCTCGGGAGGATGGAATCGAGACGCTCCCGCAAGTAAACTTTGGCGGCGACATAACCGTCGACCGTGGCAGCTGCTGAGGCGAACCCCAGCGACATGCTACTGAACTAGAAGGGCTTCCTCTCGCTGTGGCGGTGGTGGCGGCGGCGGCGGCCCTCGGAGCGACACCAGAGCGCAGACCGAGGGAGGAGAAGCCCCCGATACCCGCGGCGGCGGCCCCGCCTCTCCTGGTCGGTACAGTTGTCGCCCCCCCTCCCCTTCTCCCCAGCCCCCGCCACCCCCGGGCCACTGGGAAGACTTTGGTTTTCTTGGACAGATTTCCATCGCTCTGTTTTCGCAAACTTGATGTGGAGGCGAGGGCTGCGTTAGTAACTTTCATTTCCGAGACGCAAACGCCCGCAGTGCAACTGCTCGGTGGGGGGATCCCGCGCCCACCTCTGATCCTGGACAGACGCGCCCCCCGAACCCTTGGAAGCCATCCTCAGCGCGTGGGAGCGCGCTTTTGCCTCAGCAGCCTCTCTCCCCCTCCCCCTTCCTCCGCGGACCCGGGAACATCCATCCCGCTCGGCCAGATACTCGGACGCTTGTGGCGCTTGACAGCAACTCACACTCCAGCCTGCGACCCCGCTTTCTCCCCTCCAGGCCTCGAAAAGGCCGGTGTGGCCCCCCCGGACCTGGGAGGGCTCGTTCCAGGCGGGTCGTCTCTCCGCAGTGAGCCAGGAGCGCTGGGGGGAGGTCCTTGCGCATGCCAGGTGCACAGACGACGCGCGTTCCAGCCCCAGTGCCGGTGTTCCGCGGCGGGTCGGGCACTGCCTGAGAGGCTGCGACCCCACCGCCCTCCCGGTCTTCGTCTCAAGTGCGGCGGGGACTCTCCCTCGCTCAGCGCGGACCTTTCAGACGCTGCCGGACTCGCGGCCCTGCGCCGCTGCGGCCAGTCGCGCCCGGCTAACTTTGAAGGAGGAAAACTGAGTAGCCGGGCTGGAGGGAGGGGGCTCGGGGCCGCGCGGCGCTCTCTTGGCCCCTCGGAGCCCCCGGGCCCCCAGAGAGCCCCCACCGAGTCTGCCGCAACCTCAACATTGGAGCCGGCGCGGGTGTCCCCCCCGCGCCGCCGGGCCGCCCTGGGCGGGACTCCTCCCGAGGCCTCCGGGGCCCCGGGGCGCGCGCAACAGGCGGCCCAAGTCGGCGGGAAGCTGGAGCGCCGGCGGCGTCGTTCTCGGAGGGGTGTGGAGAGGCGAGGCCAGGCAGAGCCCCGCGCAGCCATGGAGTCGCTCCTGCTGCCGGTGCTGCTGCTGCTGGCCGTACTGTGGACACAGGCGGCCGCTCTCATTAACCTCAAGTACTCGGTAGAAGAAGAGCAGCGCGCCGGGACAGTGATAGCCAACGTGGCCAAGGACGCGCGCGAGGCGGGCTTCGCTCTGGACCCACGACAGGCCTCTGCCTTCCGTGTGGTGTCCAACTCGGCTCCACACCTGGTGGACATCAACCCCAGCTCGGGCTTGCTGGTCACCAAACAGAAGATCGACCGTGACCTGCTTTGCCGCCAGAGCCCCAAGTGCATCATCTCGCTTGAGGTTATGTCCAGCTCAATGGAGATCTGCGTGATTAAGGTGGAGATCAAGGACCTGAACGACAATGCTCCAAGCTTCCCTGCGGCACAGATCGAGCTGGAGATCTCGGAGGCGGCCAGCCCAGGTACACGCATTCCGTTGGACAGCGCCTATGACCCGGACTCTGGCAGCTTTGGCGTGCAGACCTACGAGCTCACGCCTAACGAACTGTTCGGTCTGGAAATCAAGACGCGAGGTGACGGTTCACGCTTCGCTGAACTCGTGGTGGAGAAGAGCCTAGACCGAGAAACGCAGTCGCACTACAGCTTTCGCATCACTGCACTCGACGGCGGCGACCCACCGCATCTGGGCACCGTTGGCCTCAGCATCAAAGTAACTGACTCCAATGACAACAACCCGGTGTTCGGCGAGTCCACCTATGCGGTGAGTGTGCCAGAGAACTCACCTCCCAACACACCCGTCATCCGGCTCAACGCCAGCGATCCAGATGAGGGCACCAATGGCCAGGTGGTCTACTCCTTCTATGGCTATGTCAATGACCGCACTCGTGAACTTTTCCAGATTGACCCTCACAGCGGCCTTGTCACCGTTACCGGTGCCCTGGACTACGAAGAGGGCCACGTGTATGAACTAGACGTGCAGGCCAAGGACCTGGGGCCTAACTCCATCCCGGCACACTGCAAGGTCACTGTCAGCGTTCTGGACACCAATGACAACCCCCCCATCATCAACCTGCTGTCGGTGAATAGCGAACTAGTGGAGGTGAGCGAGAGCGCCCCCCCGGGCTACGTGATTGCACTGGTTCGGGTGTCCGATCTGGACTCAGGCCTCAATGGTCGCGTGCAGTGCCGTTTGCTGGGTAACGTGCCCTTTCGGCTGCAGGAATACGAGAGCTTCTCTACCATCCTGGTGGACGGACGACTGGACCGTGAGCAGCACGATCAGTACAACCTCACGATCCAGGCCCGCGACGGCGGTGTGCCCATGCTGCAGAGTGCCAAGTCCTTTACCGTGCGCATCACTGATGAGAACGACAACCACCCGCACTTCTCCAAGCCCTACTACCAGGTCATTGTGCAGGAGAACAACACGCCCGGTGCCTATCTGCTGTCTGTGTCAGCTCGAGACCCGGACCTAGGTCTCAATGGCAGCGTCTCCTACCAGATCGTGCCGTCGCAGGTGCGGGACATGCCTGTCTTCACCTATGTTTCCATCAATCCCAACTCCGGTGACATCTATGCGCTGAGATCTTTCAACCACGAGCAGACCAAGGCATTTGAATTCAAAGTGCTAGCCAAGGACGGTGGGCTGCCCTCCCTGCAGAGCAATGCCACAGTTCGGGTCATCATCCTCGACGTCAATGACAATACCCCGGTCATCACTGCCCCACCCCTGATCAATGGCACAGCTGAGGTCTACATCCCCCGCAACTCCGGCATAGGCTACCTGGTTACTATTGTCAAAGCAGATGACTACGACGAGGGTGAGAACGGCCGGGTCACTTATGACATGACGGAGGGTGACCGCGGCTTCTTTGAAATAGACCAGGTCAATGGCGAAGTCAGAACTACTCGCACCTTCAGTGAGAGTTCTAAGGCTTCCTATGAGCTTATTGTGGTGGCCCATGACCATGGCAAGACATCTCTCTCTGCCTCTGCGCTGGTTCTAATCTACCTGTCCCCTGCTCTAGACGCCCAGGAATCAATGGGCTCCGTGAACTTGTCCCTGATTTTCATTATTGCCCTGGGCTCCATTGCCGGCATCCTCTTTGTAACTATGATCTTCGTGGCGATCAAGTGCAAGCGAGACAATAAAGAAATCCGGACCTACAACTGCAGGTAGAGCCAACTTTTCTTTCTTTCCTTCTTTGTGTTGTTGGATGAAAAAGGTATATCTGTGTGTCTGTGTAAAAATCGCAGTGCTTTTGTTTCCTACTTAAATGCATGCACCAGTCATACAGCGCTTCTTTTTGAAAGGGGTATAAGTTCGACAGTCCAAGTTGATCAATTCTTTTGATCTGACAGTTTGCTGGAAGACAATTATTTACTGTTGGGATGGATTCTGTCACATAATGATGATAAGCAGAGAAGCAATTATCATTTTAAAATTTGCACAACTGTCTCTATGAAGTTATGGTAGGAAAAAAATGAAAGGAAGAGGCGGGAAGGAGGTGGGGTAGGGTGGGAGAGGGGAGGAGAAGGGAGGGAGGAAGAGGAAGAGAAGAGAGATTTTTAGCAGAATCACTAAAACACAACTTGATTTTGGTGGCACGGTGTTCTGAGGACAGGTTCTGAAAGAGGAAGTGCTGGCAGCTGCCCTGTCCTGTTGTAAAGATAAACTCTGGAGAAAGCCTGTGAGTGGGAGTCAAAGGAGAAAACAGAGCAGAGTTGGGAGAAGAGAGTAGAATGTGTGGGGGGGATGAAACAGGTGATTAGTGTTTCTTAGTGTATTCTTGGCTTGTTTTGAATCCAGTCCCCAGACATCTGGCTATGCAAAGTGAAAGTCTACCAGTCAGCTGCATGTTTTCAAATATCTGGTTGGTTGATGGGATAGAGACAAAACATCCCATTGAGGGGCTGTATTTTGCATCCAGATGTTTTAGTAAAAATAGCAATCTTCTGGAGTTGATGGTGCTTTCCTCTAATGTGGGACTCTACTGTGGCATTAAAATCTGGTCCCTACCAGTGGATGTCACTATGGGCTATTGTGTTACAGTTTCCCTTGAAGTGTGTGCAGGGTGTGGGGGGGGGGCGGGGGGAGGAGAAGGGGGGAGAAATGTAAAAATGAGGATGAGATATATATATTTTAAAAGATTTCCTCATAAGTACATTCAAGGATCTTGATGAAAACCCTCCCTAAGTATTTCTAGGATCCAATTTAGCATAATACATGTCATTTTTTCCAGCAGTGTCTCTTCGAAACGGTTGAACAAAAAAGTTATTTCTTTAGTTTGCTGAAAATGAATGATGCTGCTATTTCCAACCAAGGTGTGTGTGTGCTTTCAACACACCTACATATCCAGTGTGTCTTTTGTGCCATCTGTGCTTGCATGTTTAATCAGTCAAAATATGTTCCTGTAGGTCCGATTTGTATTTGACACCATCTGAAATGCACACTTCTGTGAATCAGAGCCCCCCTGAATATGTAACAGCCATGCAATTATTGTTTCCCTTTTACTATTCTCTGCGTTACACAAGTTAGTAGACAAATGCTCACCACACATGAATATCAATCAGGTGCCATAAAAGAGCAGCTGCAATGCCTCATAAATGCTTTAATCCTGTTACTAGTGAAATGGCCGTGACTTTTCTTTCCTTTAGCACCAAGTCATTTCAGATGGGAGAAATGGAAATTAATATTGCACTTACCTTTGAAACCTATGACTGCCAGTGGCGATTTTTAAAGGAGAAAAATGTGGGGGTCTATAAAATTTTATTTATATGGAGATGATAGAGGGACTCTCTTTAAGCCATTTCCTTAGCATAAAGTAAATGCATAAGACCCTTTCCTTGATGAAAAAGAAATCAGCTTGAAATAAAGATATTGAAGGCTTTCCCACCTCTTGGTGATGTATGACCAGAAGTGAGAGCTCTTTCTGAGAGCTTGCCAGAGAGATCATTAAAATGGGAGGAGAGCATTTGAATTTGAAAAAAAAAAAAGGCAAATCTCAGTGCTCTCCAACTTCACCCACATGTGTGTTTTGTAGAGAGTTCTCTTTCCTGTGATGGTTTGGGATTAATGAAGTACAGTTTAATTAAATAATTGGTCAATACAGAAAGAGCTGCGCAATGAATGCCTCAGCTGAGTAATTGAACGGGGCACTGCCAAACTTACCCATCACGAGTAAACAAAATGATTAGAACTTCCCATTGATTCTGTAAACAGATAAAAGAAGAAAATCAACCCCAGTCCTGGGGTCTTGGGGATTTTATCTGCTCCCAAGCCCCGGTAGCATCAGCTTGCCTCCACTGCCAGTCAGCCTGAGCACAGAGCAAAAGGGTGAGGGGAACGCAACTGCTCAGCTCTAGGAAGATCCGGAGGGATAGAGTTAAGAATTTGCCTCTGTAGATATGCAATCTTCTTGTCTGCTCAGACTTCTTAAAAACCTAAAGTTCAAGAGCTGCCTTTCCATGTGGTAGGCAGAGATTTCTTGTCCTCAGCCTCTGCAGAGCCTCTTCCTCAAACACATTCACTTATGAGACTTGTGAGATGATCTGCAATTGCTGTTTGAATTGGGCTCCCTTTTTGTGTTGAGACAATTAGCTTTGTCTAGTAAGAATATAGTCACAGTCTTTCCCTTGGAAAGATCAACCTGTATTATTTTTTAACCCCATTGTTTTGCTGATTATTGCCCAGAAATTGAATTCTCAAACAATAAGCTGATTCATTATGTGCAAAGTAATAAATGACTTAGAGAATCTGGCTGCATTTTAATGTATTTCTTTTGACGAGTCTCTTAATGCTTGGTGTCTTTGGTGCACGTTGCTGGGTCTGTGTCAGTGTTAATTAAATTGAGCTCTTTATGTTCCAGTTGCAGCACAGCTGCTTGTAGGTACACCTGAATGGAGAAGGATGCTGAATGCACTAACCTTTAAATTCCTTTGCAGTAATTGTTTAACCATCACTTGTCTCCTCGGCTGTTTTATAAAAGGACAAAACAGCAAGTGTCTGCATTGCATCTCGGTTTCTCCCATTAGCGAGGAGCAAGACAAAAAGGCAGAGGAGAAAGTGAGCCTAAGGGGAAAGAGGTAAAAAGGCATTTCCCCTCATTCAAATGGGTTTGGCGATCAGGTTTCTCTAGGAGAGGAGGGAGTGGGGTGGGGAGCAGAAGGGAGCAGGGCTAGGGCAGGGGGAAACGAGGGTGTGCAGGAAAGGAGCTGAGGACGCTCGGGGTCTGATCTCTTCCCCCAGCCCAAAACAGATCAGGTCAACCATTGAGGAAGCTGATTGAGGGTGTTAATTACATGGCACATACCTGGAGGAAATGGAGAGGGGGTTATTTTTATTTTTTCCTATCTCGTGTTAAATTAAAACTTGCTTCTTATTACACCCAGGAATTCTTTTGGTTTCCAGGGAAGCTCCAGATTTGAGCATTTTTCATGCTTTCTCTCCCATAGGCTCAACTTTCCCTACCCCCTCACCTTTGCTAAAGGGCCAGTCAAAATAAGACATTCCAAATCCAAAGTATAGAAACTTTTTTGAGGGGAAGGAGAAAGAAAGTGGGTGGTTGCTGTTGAATATGAAAACTTTGTGGCCCTCAGCTTGTTTTTGCATGTTACAAGCACAGGGAGAAACCAGATGATGTAATGCGCCAGAATAAGAAGCTGGAGCTGGGGGTGCAGCCCTCTGGGGTGCTTAATGATTTTTAATCAATGCGTGGTTTGGGAGGGCGTTAGCGATACATGCTGCCTTTTTTGTCACATAGAATCGCTGAGTACTCCTATGGGCATCAAAAGAAATCAAGCAAGAAGAAAAAAATCAGTAAGAATGACATCCGCCTGGTACCCCGGGATGTGGAGGAGACAGACAAGATGAACGTTGTCAGTTGCTCCTCCCTGACCTCGTCCCTCAACTATTTCGACTACCACCAGCAGACGCTGCCCCTGGGCTGCCGCCGCTCTGAGAGCACTTTTCTGAATGTGGAGAACCAGAATACCCGCAATACCAGCGCCAACCACATCTACCATCACTCTTTCAACAGCCAGGGTCCCCAGCAGCCAGACCTGATCATCAATGGTGTGCCTCTCCCTGAGGTGAGTGTTGCTAAGCGCTTCTGCGAGGTCCCCCCAAGCCTGCTTTCTCTGAGCTGCTTGTTGGACAGCATGGGCCTCTATGCTGGCCTGGCGTGGCTCCTGGCAGAGGTGGGGAGAATTTCTCTGCCCGGGACCAATTCCTTAGTGAGAGTCTGTTACCAGTGGTTCTTGGGGGTAAAGGCAGACCTACATATTGGACCTTTGAAGGGGTGGGTGTTGGGGAGTGGGGCTCAAGGGATCTGAGCCTTTGCAATCTTGGAACGGCATTCTGGCAGAATATGAGTTTGCTGCACCTCTTGTGAGTGTGGCCACCCCGTGGTGGAACCCTTATTCCAGTTCAGGTGACTAAGTTGGAGGAACCCTTGAATGTTTAGGGCCCAGTTTTCCAATGAGAGAGTGATTTAGCCTCCTAAAGCCACCCTTTGCTTTTTCTTTGGGCACTTCCTTTCTTTGCCAAGAATACGAATGGGCTGGTTAAATGGAAGCAAACAAAAAAAAAAAATTAAAAATCACTTTGCTATTTCTTGTCAGCTCTTGTGGTGATGTTTGACAAATGATGAGGTTGAAACTGTCACTAATAGTGAAAATTTGAGGAATTAAGTATGCATTTAAGATAGCTTCGTTTCCTTTGACTTTGGAATGTGTTCCAGTGGCAGTGTTGTTTCTTTTTAAATACTACATGGTCCGTGTTCACGGAGTATTGAAATATTTCAGGGTAATGATGTGATAGATAATGTGGATGATGGTAAGTAGATGGCTAGGTGGAAGGCTGTATCAATTATAGTTCTTAAGTTGATTTAGTTTTTTCTGTGAATTACTTAAATCCCTCTTTGGTTGATCATTTGATGCACTGGGAAGCACATACCCTTTTTGAGGTCACCAGTGAAAGGAATACTGCCTACTTGGAGAGCACGTCTTCATTTTTCAAAGTACCTTCACAATCATTGTCACTTTTGGCCACTGCAATCAGCTATCTTAATAGATCGACCTTTAGTAGATGATGAAACGGAGGTCCAAAGATGCTAATGGATTTCTTCAGACTCAGAGAGCAAGGCAGCAAGAGAGAGAGGACTAGATCACAGGACTCTATAACTCTGTGAAAAGTGCTGTTTCAGTTGACACCTTCCTGCCTCAGGAATAATTCAGCCTGACATACCTAGGCCATGGTGCATATAAAATGGCCTCAATAGTATTTGTATCAATTTTATAGAGCAAAGGATTTTTAGGGCCACTTGCATTGATTGGGTCTCCTTGTTCCTGGAAAATAATCCTCATCAGAATTCATGTGACTAAACAACAGCACTTTAGTAAAGAAACAGAGCTATTCTGCCAGCACCAAAACACCTATGTTTTCAATCCATAAATCTATAAATAAGGATTTATCGAAAATCCAGGCTTGCACTAGGCAAGCTTTGTTGTAATTACAAATGTCAGTGAATACCACTAGGGACTAGACCACAGACTACTTGGAGGATTACTTGTGGATCACTAAGAGTTAAACAGTGGAGAGGTAGACTTAGTCTTATGTCGTAGCATCAAATAGATCATGATTTTGAACTGCAGGACATGTCTTGCTATGGAACCTCTGAGTTTTGTTTCTGCATCTATAAAATGGGCACATCTGCCTTGTAGAGTTGGTCCAAGGAATAATACAACATTGTGTAATGTAAAAATCGTGACCCATAGGTACCTCCCAAATCATAGATCACTTTGCTAGTCAGTAATTGGAGAATGACTATTGTGATGGCCTGCACCCCTGAATTTGTCTCCCTAGGCACTTATAACAAAAAAGGAATTTAAACTGGTTCTATGTAGATAAGATGTACAAAGTGGTGTGGTTATAGTATTCATCTTGGTCATTCAAACAATGGAGGTGAAAGAAGCCAAGATTGAGGGTTCAGGTGTGGACTGCTGTTGCTAGTGGAGATGGACTAAACGATTGACTCCTGATGACTTGGTGATTCTTTTTTTTTTTTTAAGAGATTATTTATTTTTGTGTGGAAGAACTGGGGTGCAGGCCAGAGGCACAGTGGGGGTGAGAGGATTCACCAGAGACAGAGTGGGGAGCAGAACAGGCAGATCTACTGAAATATACTGCCAGTGGGAGCAGGGGGGCACGACAGGAGAGGTCTGCCACACCATGTGCCTTGCTCCCTGGACAGGGTTGGAACTCAGGCCCTTGTGGTGGGCCTTTGTAGTGATAGCGCTGAGACTTAACCCCTAGGCCACCAGGGAGGCCTGACTTAGTGATTCTTTATACAGCAGATTCAGGGCACTAGAGAAACACAAACCTTAGTTTTCACAAGGTAGTTGGAGGGGGCAGGACACATACGATTATATGTGCCTGGTTTACCTAGATCTTGGTGTTCTTTCTAAAATTTCCTTATGAGGAGAATGAAACAAAGCACTGCTTCAATTATTTAGAAAAGCCAGTGGAAGTCTGAATTCTGATCCTATCCTTGACTCAAAGCTGGATGCTCTTCTTATTTAACAAAATCACACAGATCTAGTGTTTAGAGCTAGTCAGGGTCAAGATAGTGTGTACTAGACACACCGAGGTGAAGTGTGTATTTTCAATAAGCAGTGCTGGAGAGTTCAATTGACAAACCCATTCACAAAGGGGAGAGCCCATTCATAGTTGGGCATGAATCAGGGCATTTAACCTGCATCTGTTATAAAGTTCTGCATGGGGAAAATGACACTTTTACTTTTCTTCCCATAACAGAGGCCCTTGAATGTGGACTAGATAGAAGAGCAGAAATGATTGACTGATTCAACTACTATTTGTTGAGTGTCTACTCCTTGTAAAACTCTGCTCTAAGTGTTAGAGAAAAGAAAAAGACAGTCTCTGATCTTAAGGGATGCATATTCTGTTGAGGGAGACAAGCAGATAGGGGATTTGCAATATGGAGTGCTACTTTCTCATTACTAGGAGAGTAGTAGCTTGATATATTTCTTGCCTTTCTTTATATTTTCCACATTCATTCATTCATCAGTTGATTCAAGAAAGCATTTGTTAAGCATTTACAGCACTGATACTTGCTATGATGTGGTAAATATAAGATTCTTTGGAAATTCTGTATTAAATCTCATGTTACTTTCATATTTATTATTTTATTTTATAACACTTTTATTTTTTAAAAAAGATTTATTTATTTATTTATTTATGCAAGAACCGGGGTACCGGCCAGATGCGCGGGAGGGTGAGAGGATTCACCAGAGACAGAGTGGGGAGCAGAACAGGCAGACTGATGAAATACACTGCTGAGGGGAGCAGCGGGCGCGACAGGAGAGGTCTGCTGCACCATGTGGGACTCTCGCGGGCCAGCTGGGATTGAAACAGTGCTGCAGAGGCTGCGGACAGCTTCACAGCACTGCGCTCAACTGCCTGCACCACCAGGGGAGGCCCAACACTATTTTAATTGTTTTATTATTTAAGTCCACTAGCATTTATTACACACTTTTGAATGTGACCAGAACTTAGTACTACTAGCCAGAGATAAAAAATGGAACACTTGATTCTTGACCCAGGGAGTTTACAAGGAGAGACAAGTAAACAAGTAATTTCAGTTCAAGATAACAACACTTTTTTGAGCATATGTTACCTTCTTATTCTCTGGATTGGGACTAAAGGTCACTTACACATTAGGCTTTCTTTGCTAGGTGACATTGTGACAAACCACTCCTTTTATTACCTGTGCAGTTACAGGACAGGGTTTACTCACAGTGGCAAAATAAGAGGCATGAGAAGTGCTTCCCTCACATTCTTCCATCACACTTTGAAATTTCTTACCACTGCATTGGATCTAATCAGTAAGAATTATTTGAATATCCACTAGGTGCTCATTGGTGTGACCACCACCAGGGGGGATTCCAGAAAAGAATAAGATCTAGGTTCTGCCTTCAGAGAGTGGGCCGTCTTGTTGGAACAGCCTGGGGGAACTGAGGTTACATGATTTCACTGGTATGTAATTTAAGAGAAATTTCTCGACTCTTGTACTGCTTTGCTGTAGTTGTGACTCCTTTCATGGCAGCCCTGCCATCATTTATGTGTAGATTTTACCCATGGGTCTCAGGGTTTGGCACTGACTTGAGTGTAACTGTTGCATCCTGGCTACATATGAACTTTGTTGCTGCTGGATACCAAAGGGAATGTACTTTATTTTTTTTAAAGATTTATTTATCTATGCACACAAGAACTGGGGTACAGGCCAGAGGTGCGGGGGGCGGGGGAAGGTGAGCGGATTCACCAGAGACAGAGTGGGGAACAAAACAGGCAGCTTGACTAAAGTACACTGCTGAGGAGAGCAGCGGGCGAGACAGAAGAGGTCTGCTGTGCCATGTGGGTAGCTCCCTGGCTGGGGATGGAACCCGTGTTGCAGTGGCTGAGGACAGCTTCAGAGTGCTGCGTCTTAATCCCTTGTGCCACCAGGGAGGCCCCTAAAGGGAATGTACTTTAAACACAGGTAGGTAGGTAAGGTAAAGGGAATAGCGCTCTGATCTTGAAGGTTGTAACTTGGGCTTTTGTATTATGAGATTATCCTGCCTAGACTTGTGTGTCATCATTTACTTGTCCTCTGATGTTGGTGAGAAAACTTGGCTACGTGGATTTTGTGGCTTTGTGCACTAATTTGCAGAACGTGGAGGATGCCATTTATTGCATCCTCCGTTTTACACCCAGGCCATGCTCATTACTGGAGGAAGAAAACACAGCTCATTTCTTCTACTGGGAATGGAAACTTGGGTAGGACCCCTTCTTGCACTCGGGAGGGGTGAAATGACCCAAGCACCCAGTCTCTTTGGCAACGTTGTAAAAATTTTGAATGCTGAATGTTTCTGAGATGACAATTCTAAGAGAGTGAGTGTGGACAAGAGCTTCCAGAATTTTAGTCATAGGTTCATAAGGATTTAGATTTGGGTTTCAAACAATGTTGATTTCTTTTTATTTTTCTACCTTAAGCTAGCAAACTGTAATGTCTTTGAAAGGAGAAATCCTAAGGGCACATGCACGCTGTTCTAGCCACTTATAAAACAGTTTCCTAAGTAGCAGCGTAGTGCCAGTGCAAGAGTTTGCAGAACGAGGTGTATGTGGCAGATCCAATTGAATGCTTCTTCCAGTTACCCTGTAGAAAGTCTCAATGTGTTTTATCTTAGTGCATCTAACAAAACTAAAACATCAGTTAGTCTTTTGTTTGTTTTTTTTAAAGAT